AGAGGGGAGGGGAGGGGAGGGGGATAGTAGAGGATAGGAAAGGCAGCAGAATACAACAGACATCAGTTTATCAATATGTAAAGCAATGAAGTGTAACTGATGTGATTCTGCAAGCTGTATACGGGGTAAAATGAGAGTTCATAACCCGCTTGAATCAAAATGTGAAATATGATATATCAAGAACTATGTAATGTTTTGAACAACCAACATTAAAAAAATAAATAAATAAATAAATAAACTTTCTATGTATTGTTCTTTAGGTGTCATCTTTTGTAATGGCATATAATTGGTTTCATGTTTTAATCAGGTAACAATTTGTCTTTAACAAAATAACTTAGTCCATTTACATTTCATGTAATTACTGGGTTACATCTGTAAGACTATTTAGTACTACTATAATAATATGTCACAGATTGGTTAAGTTATAGAGGTTTACTTTGGCTCAATTCTGGTCAAAGGCTGGGGCTGCATACAGTGATGGCCTTGTGAKAACAGTCCCAAGCCAGAAAAGTCCAAGTCACCTCCCAAAGGCCTCTCCTTTAAACACTATAGTCAGATTGTTTCCCACTCTCTCTTAATAACTCAGAGCAGGGATGAAAGTCCAACAGTTTCAGAAGAGGCAAACCACTATCTACCACCTGTTTTTTTCCCCTATTCCTGCCCCTTCTATGCTTCCTTCTTTTTCTATTTTGTGATTATTTTCCTATTTTTATCTTCTATTACCTCAGAAACGATACACTAATTTCTGTGTAACCATTATTTTAAGTGGTTATACTAGAAATCATATTTATACTTCAGGTTAAAGCTAACCAGTACCTTTATTCTCTCAGACCATACAAATTTAGAGGACTTATTCCAGTCACTACCCTATCAACTTATATATTTCAATTGAAAGGTATTTTAAACATAATTTTTGAACTCCATGAAACAGCATTATTATTTCACATAGCAAGTGCTCTTTTAGATTCATCCATTATTCACAACCTTTGGTCTTTTAGTCCATCTTCAATCACCTTCCTACAATATAAAGCATACCTTTTAGAATATAAGAATACTTAGGTGGCAAACTTGCTCATTTTGTTGTCCGAAACTGTCTTTATTTAGCCATCGTTCCTAAAATATATTTTTGAGGTACAGAATTTTAAGTCAGATGTTATTTTTYTCTTAGTCATACAACTGGTTTCTGGTTTCCATTATTGATCTTTAGAAGTCAAAGATCTAACTGTAAGGAAGATTCATTGTGTACTGGTTACCACTTCAGCCCTCTGCATCTTGCACTACAATTTCTATTATTTCTTTTTTTTTTCAATATTTATTTTTTAGTTGTAGTCGGACACAATACCTTTATTTTATTTATTGTATGTGGTGCTGAGGATCGAACACAGGGCCCCGCATGTGCTAGGCGAGCACTCTACCACTGAGCACAACCCCAGTCCACAATTTCTATTTCTAAAAGTGATGAGACAGAACATTCACACATCACATGATGTCTGTTACAGAGATAGGCAGCAAGGACAACATTAGCCTAGAATTCATGACAAGCCTTTCCTCCAAGGGTCAGGAAAGCTGTCCAGGCCAGGAGTCTCATCTGCACATGCCCCAACTACACTGCAACTGAGGGTCCCTGGAAGGCACTCCACTTGGATTTTACATCCTGGTGGTGACCTCATATGCCCAGTTTTAGTGTTGAACGTCATGCCAGTATAAGAGGGATAGAAACACAAACCACAGTGTTCTAGACATTCCCTCTTTATCTCATGATCTTGCATTACCAGAATATTCTGAGCACTTTTTTTTTCTAAGAACTACCAACAAGAAAGCTGGGAAGAGCTGGGTCACCAAGACTACTAGGGACTTGTCCTGCTCTAGGTGATTTCCTTTGAAGGTTAATTGTGACTTCTGTTTTGGCTACTTAACCAGTTTTTGTCTTTGGCATTCTACCTTTTACTATGATGTGTGTAAGTGAGGACTTCATATCTATTCTGCTGAGGATAAATCTGTGGACTGGTGTTTTTTATTTGAAAGTTTCTCAGCAATTAATTMTTCAAATATTGCTTCTGTCCCCATTAGCTATTTGAGACTATTAGTTATACATTTGATTTTTATTCTTTTTCCTGTATTCTCACATTTTTAAGCTGCTCTTCTACTCAGCATCCTGCACAATTTCTTCTATTACAGTCACTAATTCTCTTTTCAGTTCCATTTAATCTGTTAAACCTGTTCATTGAAATTTATTTTTTTTAGTTATTCTATTTTCCACTTGGAAAAGTTGTTTTTTCTTTTCTCAAATATGATAGTCATCTTTTATAGTAAATGCCCTGTTTCCTGGAGACTTTTTAAACAATCTTTCTTCTTAGCACATATGTAATATTGTTTTAGTCAGCTTTTTTTGCAGCTGTGACCAAAAGATCGGACAAGAACAATTAGAGGAAGAAAGTTTATTTGGGGGCTCAGGGTTTCAGAAGTCCTAGTCCATTAACAGCTGACTCCATTCTTTGGGGTGTAAGGTGAGAAAGAACATCATGAAAGAGGGTATGGTAGAGGAAAGCAGCTGGGAACATCACCAGGAAGCAGACAGAGACTCTCCTCACCACAGACAAAATATATACTCAAAGATACGCCCCCAGGGACTCGCCTCCTTAAGCCACACTGTACCTGCTTACAGTTAGCATCCAGTTAATCYTTATCAGGGGATTAATGCACAGATTAGGTTAAGATTCTCATAACCCGGTCTGGGGATGTGGCTCCAGTGGTAGCGCGCCCGCCTGGCATGTGTGCRGCCTGGGTTCGATCCTCAACACCACATACAAACAAAGATGTTGTGTCCACCGAAAAACTAAAAAATAAATATTAAAATTTCTCTCTCTCTCTTCTCTTTCTTTAAAAAAAAAAAACTCATAACCCAATCATTTTACCTTTAAGCTTTTTTGCATCATTTCACATGAGCTTTTGAGGGACACCTAATATTTAAACCGTAACAATTATAAAACATGTTTAGTTCTGAGTTTTCTGGTGGCCTATCTCTATTGCCTTAGTTGCTGTGCTAATTTTCCTTGTGGAGTTTATTTAAACTTGAGGAAACTGTGATCCTAGTATCCTCCAAAAATTTGTTTAAATCTTTCAGGTACCTATTCTGGGACCATTTTATATAAATTCATAACTTGTTGTTTGAGTACATAGATGACTTGATTTGGGATGCTCTGAAACTCTGGACAAATACTGGAGCAGGTTTGCTTTTGGCGTTCTCTGATGGTATTCCTTAGGGTCCTGGCTTTGTGGGAAAACTGTACTTTATGAATCTCTATTTCAACTGGGCTCTAAGCTCTGTTTTTTTGCCAGTGTTCCTAAGGACAATCAAAACCAAACCTGGAATTCACCCTCAGGGCAAAAGGGTTGCAGCAGTTTCATTTAGTAATACTGGCCTTGGAATTACTTAATCTTTAAGAACAGTGCCAACTCCCAGATGCATCTAAAAATGCTTTTTCTATTTTACCTAAAAGTTTTTAGTTTTAGCACTGCTCAGATGAACATAGTCTGCCACCTTACTAAAAAAGAAATCTAGCATTTTGTAAAAATTCTACATATTACATATTCTCACTTATCAATATTAGAAAATTTCCAATGTCCTTTAAAATTCCTTATAAACCTAAGTTTATCTGGGTTCACTCAAGTGTCTGCTGTTGGCTGAGAGCCAGCTGATCCAGTATTGCTTTGGGTAGTGTAGTTTACTATGCTTCCCAAAACCTGATCTGATCCTCTGGAGGGTCAGCTCAGGCTTAACATGGCAGTAGGGCAGGTTTCCAATCGTGCCAGTGGAGCTATGCCAGCTCTGAGGCCTAGACACTAAATTTGCATAATATCACCACACCATTCTTTTGAGCAAATCCATGGCATGGGAGTAGACTTTTTGTCTTTGATAACTACTGTATCCCCTGAATATCAAATGATCTTGGCATATGCAAGATTTTAATGTGTCTTTTTTAAAATTTATAAATCAATCTATGAGAAAAATTTGTGTTTTTATACTCCCAAACATTAGGCAATAAATGACTCTCAAAGTAACTATGAATTATTTGAAGGACCATTTGTTATAAATACTGTAGAAACATTATTATATTTTGTACAATCTACTATGTAAATGATAATATAATACTGAATATTAAAGCTTCTCTTTAACATTTCATTGTGAATAAACAATGAGTCAGAAGGAGACATGCAGAATAATCATGTATGCAATTATTAAAGTGAAAATGATACTTTCAGAATGACAATCTAATAAACTTGTTGAAATTCTACATTTGTCATTATGATATACTTAACTGATATAGCAAAAGAAAATCTCTAATGCTTGAACATTAGCATTTAAAAGAAACTTGTATACAAAAAATTCTCAATATTTCATTTTGGAGGCTTCCTTATTTAATGCACAAAATCAAATTCCATTCAGTAAATACTGCTATTCCAACAATGTCCTAAAGTTTTCCAGTTGTCTGCTGGTGATCCTGGTCCACATACTGTATTCATAAAAGCCAAAAATAAAATAATACGTAGGGATGAAATAATAACTTTTAAAAACCAATGGTAGTTAAAAGGTTCTAAATTTTATATTTTGTCAAACATTACTGTATTTACTAAAATTTTGGTTTTGTAGACTCCGTGATACTAAATTGCCTGTTGGGTTTAGTAGTTTCTCGCATCAGTTCCTGTAACTGTCCAATTTGCTCATCACGAAAGTCATTAAGTTTTTCTTCTGGGAGGGAGGTGCCAAAACATGCTCTTTCAGTTGAATTTTGTCTGTATTCATTAGCTTGTTCCCATAACACTGATGCATATACCTAAGAAGAAGAAAAAGAAAAATGATTGATGTTCACTTATTTAATCATGGAGGACTTAATGAATTCTAATTCCAAGTTACCTATTTTTCTCCATCACTAAATTTTCTGCATTTGCCTAAAAAGATATAAACAATATAGTCATAGCTTTATTATTCAGTGATAATTTCAAATATAGCTTATTTTCAGCACAGGCTTTTGCTTTGTAAGGTTTTGAACAACCAATAAAAAAAAATTCTTCAATTATAAATTAATGGTGCATGTGTGTTGGATAAGATCCCATGGATGGGCATTAGAAGCATACATGTACCAGCCAAAACCATAAACTGTAGATACACAAGTATGCATATACTTCTGGGACCATAGCTTTCATGAGAATTTCAAAGAGGGTCCATGAATCTTATAGGCTTAAAAGTAGGTCCCAAAATTGTCTATTTACCTACCTTCAATTAAAAATTTAAAATGTTAGAGAAAGAAACTTTTTATCCTTTCAGCCTTCAATATTTAACAACCATCTATGTCAGGAAAATAAATCTGTATTTTTCATGTTGTCATTTTGGTCTTAACATATTCAACCTAATATTCCAACTACCATTGTTTTCAGTATCTCGTTTGAAACAGACACTTGCTCAAAATTAACCTTTTAATCGGGCAGGAAGTACCCATGCATTTCATTAGGTTAAAGATTATATGTATATGCTGAGATTATTCTGAATAATGCTACTACCCAGTCTGGTTTAAGACATCTAAATTGTTTACAAACACTAGATTGCTAGTATCATTGAAGCAGTTTTAATTCTAATTCCAAACTTGCTTGTATGGGAAGTCATATTTTCTTCATGCTTTCCAGAAATCCACTTCATAAAATAACAATATTGCATATAAGGTTTACCAATTCCTCTTCCAAGAATATGCTTCAGAGCAGCATGTCTTAATCTTGGCACTACTACCATTTTTGGATAATTTGGATATTCTTTGTTGTGGAGTGGGTAGGAGCTTTTTCTTTCATACTGTATTTCACAGGATCTCTGTTCTCTAACAACTAGATGACAGTAGCATCCCTCCCCTTAATCTTTATCATGAGAAAGGCCCCAAACATTGCAATGCTCCTTGGCAGGCAAAATCACCCCTAATTTGAGAACTATACTAAAGCGGTTTTCAAATTTGTGAACAAGTGCCATGCATAAAAATGTTCAATGGAGCATTGTTTATTAAAGCAAAATACTAAAAACAATCTATCCATACTTCAAGAGGACAAAGGACACATACCCTGAAGTTTACTCAAATAATGGACTACCAAGAAATAACAGCAACTGAAATAAGTATCTTCATATCAACATGGATGAATCTTAGAAAAGCAAACTTAAGTTATTCATTTATAGAAATAAGGTCAATTCTCAAATTCACAAATATAAAAGGGGCTAGACAAAACAATCTTTAACAAAAACAAAATTGAAAGAGTCACACTTCGCAATTTCAAAACAGTGTGGAATGGGCATTAGGATAGACATACAACAAACACCAAGGGAACTGAGCCAAGAATCCAGAAATAAACCTATAAAATATATAGCTCCACTGATTTTTAACAAAGGTGTCAAGGCTACTTAATAGGGGGAAATACAGTCTCTTTAACAAGTGGTAACAGAAAAATTGCATTTCCTCATACAAAAGGGTGAATGAAGTTGAATTCTTTCCCTCATATAAAAAAATTAAGTCAAAATAGATCAAAGGCCTAAATATGAGGTAAAATTATAAAACTTCTAGGAAAAATAGTACTGGTAAATATTTGTGATGTTTGATTTAGCAACTGATTCTAACAAATGACAGAAAGTCTGAGCAACATAACAATAAGTAAAGTATTTGTCATCAAAATTAAAAAATTTTGTACAAAGATATCAATGTAAAAAAACAAAGAATGAAAATGTAATTTTCAAATTTTATATTTCTTAAGTTTTATATTCAGAATACATAAACAATTGTAACTCATCAACAAGATAACCCAATTACAAATGGCAAAGAACTACCATAAATATTTTTTCAGATATCCAACATTATTTGTAATCAAGGAAACACAAATCAAAACTACAATGAGATACAACTTTGCATCCACTAGGAGGGCTAGTATAACAATCCAGAAAAAAAGTGTTAGCATGGTGAGAATATGAAATGATATAGCCACTGCAGCAGAGTATGGAGGTTCTCCAAAAGTAAAGCAAATGCACTCAGATAAATTCCCCAAATTTCTGAAAGTCAAAACTGAAACAGGTATTCATATAACCCATGTCAGAACAGCATTGTTCACAAAGAGCCAATATGTAGAAACAAGGCAATTGCCTATCAACAGATAAAAGGTGGACAGACATGGAATATTCTAAAGGAATAAAGTTCTATACAAGCTAAAATATGGATGAACCTTAAAATCATTGTTAAGTGAAATAAGCCAGATACAAAAAGACAGTATTATCATTCCAATTATATGAAATATCTAGAATAGGCAAAAATTCATAGAAACAAAGAAAAAACAAAGATTATCCGGTGCTGGGAAGAGATGGAATGGGGTGTTATTGCTTAATAGGCACAGTGTTTCTCTTTGGGTGAGGAAAAAGTTTGCATTCTAACCATTTTTATGTTTTTGCAATAGAAAAAGGAAATGTAAGGAGTTCCATTTCTGTTAAGGATAGATTTTGCTTTCAGACTCCTCTTGCAGATAACATTATAAACTCTGGTACACAGTACATAATAAACCAATAATCCAAAGACACAAGTTGAACAGAAATTAGAAAGGAATCAACTCTTTGAAGGACAGCAGAGGACATTAGGTTAGATTCTCATTTTTCTGTTTTGTCTGAAGGAAGATCCCATTTGGTGCTGAGAGGAGACTAGAACTTGGATAGTGGCCTGCAGTGTCACTAAGGAGCAATCAGAGGACAGTTTGGAATACCCACAGCAGTTGGAAAATGAAAACGGAAAATGCAACTGTGGGTAAATGGCAGAAAGATCAATAGGGGAAAGGGAGCAGGAGGTGGGGAAAGAGAAGGTAAAGGAGAGGTATATGATATATTCCATGCTTTTATGATTACATCAAAATGGATTCTATTGTCCTATATAACTAAAAAGAACCAATAAAAGGGGGCGGGTGCCAGGGAAGAAAGCTACTGAAGCTGAGCCTCAAATTCTGCAAATAAACTCTGCAAAAATCTCTGGCTATCTCCTAAACTACGCATGCTCCAGATGGAGTCAAGCTGCTTGAATCTATCAGAATGTGATTTTAACGTACATAAAAGACAAAAACTGTCAGTTTAACAAAAACTGCCAGTTTAATAGTTAAATTATTTTTGGAAAATAATTACTTAAATTATCAATTTAAACTTTATTTGGAAAAATCATTAGCAAACTAATTTCTGTTCTATAAATTTTAAGAATAAAAGTTTTTTAGCATTTGTAATTAATAAAACTAAACCATTTCAATGAATAACATAAAAAGAGAAACAACCAGATATTATGTGACTCCTGAATGAAGTATATTTTACCTATACCAAAAATAAACCTGCACCTAGTGAGCATCTACTCCGTTAATTAACAGGAAATACAGAAGGCAGAATAAAGTACTATACATAACTGTGGCAGTGCAACTAGCAAAATTCAGATTATGGAAAACTAAGTTTCAAAGGAAATTTTYAAAACTATATAAGTAATAAAGGAAAATAGCAATATTATAATGAAAAAACCTAAAGGACACCTCAATCAGATGATCAAGCTAAATATCACCATTAGTAAGTGATATTGCCATCATAAGCCCCTGATCATTAGACACTGAAAAGTGATATTGCCATCATAAGCCCCTGATCGTATCACCTCTGTGGTTTAAGTAACTTTCTCAGTTTAGAGCAAACAAAGGCAATTTGACTACTAAACATGATATGGGATATTGGATTAACCTGGAACAAGCAAAAGAGCATAGTGCAAAACTGTTGAAACTAAATATATTTTCTAGTTTAAAGTAATGTATCAATGTTAATTTCTTAGTTTTGATCATCATACTATAGTTCTATAAAGTATTAACCAGGGGAGAAGCTGGCAAAGAGTATGGAAATTCTGTACCATCTTTGCCACTCCAAGTCTAAAATTAACTCAAAAGTCTAAAAATGAAAATTTTAAAGAGATTTGAGAGTTCAATGAATTACAATGTATCAATTTAATTTTTATTCAATCAAAAACTTTAAGAATTATTATTAGGCTGTTTGCAGCTCAATGGAAGAGAACTTGCCTTAGAGGTGGCAAGATTCTGGGTTCAATCCCCAGTATTGCCAAAAACAAAAGAAATTAATTTTGAAGTCATAATACATACTAAGCATCCCCAACCTGAAAATCCAAAATGCTCAAAAGTTTCAGGTCTTAGAGCATTTTAAAATTCAAGTTAGGGATGCTCAACCAGCAAAGTCTATGCAAACCAAACATGATAAAAAAAAAATTGAAACACTTCTGGGCTCAAGTATTTCAGATAAGGGATATTTGACCTGTAATGGTATTATAGTTAACTTTTTAAAAGAGTCTCTGTTAGGGATAGATACTGAAGCATCTGTAAATAAAATTATGTTTCTGATTTGCTTTAAAATAATCTGGAGTGGTATATATACACAATGCAATATTACTCAGCAATAAGAGAATAAAATTACGGCATTTTCAGGTAAATGGATGGAGTTGAAGACCATCATGCTAAGCAAAGTAAGCCAATCCCAAAAAAACAAAGTCCAAATGTTTTCTCTGATAAGTGGATGTTAATCCATAATTTGTGTGGGGTGGAGGGGGTATATAAGTGGAGGAACTTTGGATAGGGCAAAGGAGAGGGAAGGGGAGGGAGGGAAGGGGACATGGAGATAGGAAAGATGGTGAAATGAGATGGTCATCATTACACTAGGTACATTTATGATTGCATGAATGATGAGTCCCTACTTTGTGTACAACCAGAGAAGTGAAAAATTGTACTCCATTTGTGTACAATG